AACGCAAAGAACTACCACGAAGTGCCTATTACGAATTAACATAGAAGAACCGCGCCTCTTTTTACGAAATACCGATGGCCAATTTAAGGCTAAGAGCGCAGTCGAGAAGATTATAAACCTTGTTCATAACAACTTTGTTCTGAAGTAATTAATGCAAGAGATATTATCGATGCGCTCCAACCATGCATTTCTATTTAGCCACACATGTATGTTTATTATCTTGTATCGTGTGATCTCTTCTTATAAAAATTGTGATATATCTTTATAATAACAGGAACTTTCAAGGCTACTGAGAGCATCTAGATTTTTCTAAATTTATTATATCCGGCATTATCATGAGAATGATTGAGAATATTCTTGCTTCATGACATTTATACCTCGTTACTCAACGTCGCTCATTCGCATTAATCCTGTGTAAAGTACACTTATGGGCATTCTGCATGCGTGAGTGCAAGCTGCTTCGTCTTGAGATCACGCAGCTATTCCGATTTGCATATTTATCGCAGGATAGAAGGAAGACTTTTGGCGTGCGAACGTCAAAACCGATTACGCGAACAAAATGTATAATTTTTTCCCATATGTGCAGGGTACATCCCCCGTTCCGACCATTCTATTTCTATCCGCAGCACTCGCGATTCAAGCCTGAGACTCTTATTTCAGTCTTAATACTAGATAATGCAGTTGATATCGTGGGTACACAAAATACCTTACTTACTTACATATTTTAATATTTCATATTCAGATAAAAGAAAAATATCAAGAGACACGACAGTGGGCCGCCGTCAAGTTTATATAAAACAGGATTTTAAATATCAATTCGTACGATATCAATAATATAATTAAATAAAACAGATGAAAGCTAATTATGCCAATTCAAAAGTAAATTTAAATATAAAACAAAAAACGCGTTCGTTTGCATATGTATATTAAGTTTTAATATTTTAATAAAATTTTAATAAAATTTTAATAAAAAAAATATTGATAAATAAGATGTAACGGAATGTCCTATTTACCAAGTTATAACAGAAAATACTACAAATGTCCAAAGATGTACAGAAGTATATGTAATACTTTCCTCACGAATAAATAGAACAAACGAATTGATGAAAAAATGAATCTCATTTGTGTGAATCAGCCAATCGCTAATCGCAGAACCGTGAACGCAAAATTACGCGTTTCGCAATAAAAACGAACGCAGTTTTTTTTTATTATAGGAAAGAGGTATTGAATTATCGTCCGGTTGTGTTGCGACAGAATATCATGTGAGAATTCAAGATACGATCCGATTTCATGTATATAAGTAAAATTTTTTTGCCTCCTGCACTTTTTGCCTCTACGTGTTGAATGTAGAAAAATTAATAACATAGTGTACTGTCAGCAACATATCGATAATCGTTCCATCAACAACGTCAAGTTTAAGCAATAAAAGAGATTTTGAATAATAACTAAGGAGCAATAAATCGACCTACTTACGAGAATACATTAGCCGCGATAAAATTATGCAAGACAAAGATAGAACTTGCATACTCAATAAAAAATCAGCTTGATGTGTTCATGTCTATCTATTTACCTTCATATTAACAAATAGAGATTGCATAAAATTTTATAACGCCGGTTGCTTGTAAATAATGCCTACACAAAAAAAAGGCTTGTAATTCTGAGATTATTACAAAATTATTTAATGGATTTTCAATTCTTACCAATCTTCGAGATATATGTTTAAGATATGTAATATTTTATCTAGCAATACCAATAAATATATCTATGTTTACGTTTATTACGTTTACGAGTAACACACACATAGATATATATATATATATATATATATATATATATATATATATATACACACATTAGAATATATTAATATATATAATATTATAAAATACAAAAAAGAATAAAGGGAAGAACAATTGTAAAAATCGGAAAAATTATACAAAGACCAACGAAAGTATACAACGACAAATATAAAATTTAATTTCTCAAGTGCCGCACGATCACTCTTCTACACATCTGTTACAGTATAATAAAATAATATTTTAATTTCATAATCGGAATCTCCTCTAAATAATATCTGCCGTCTGCCGTATGCCGGAGATAAATTCAAAAGCGCTCGTATATCTCGCATATCGTATATTAAGTGCATTTTGAAAAGCCACGCGGTACGGAGCGTGTGAGGTTTCGATTTCTGCGGTTTTTCACTCTCGATCGGAAAGTGTCGCTTCCACGAGAGGAGTAAAAGTCATGGAGCCCCGCGGTAAAAACAGGTGTGGAGGCTATAGCGCGCTATAGCTGGTCAAGCCGAGAAAGTCAAGAGCGCGCGGAGATGCCGGTGTGCAAGTGTCTCTCGCGCAGCCCGTTAGCCTACTTACGCGACTTAGCGCGGCTCGAAATTCGTGGCGCGCGCGCGACCGGCCGCCGTTCGCCGCGCGCCGTGATATTCGATATAATATCGACCGTCGTGCCCATCGTCGCGCCGATAGAACCTGTCGGGAAGCGAAAAAAGGGGGAGGAAAAAAAATCGCGCGGCGCGTCGGGCGCGGGACGTCACGCCGCCGTTCGCGCGACCGTTCCGTCCCAGGTGACGCGGTTTACCCAGGTGTATTGCGCAATCGACGATCGGCCGCCCCCCGGGATTGACGGCGCTGTTTCATCGACGGCGAAATTTCGTAGCCCCGCTTCTCTTTCACGGCGCTTTCGATCCGAGAAAGTCGCGATTTCGCACGTACGCCAACGGCTCGAAAATTGCGACTGACTGATTTCACGAGAATACGCCGAGAATACGCGATTCGCGACTCTACGACCGGACGAGACGTCGAGGGGTACTGATTTTTCTTTGTTTAATTATCGAAAGATAATTTCCATTTTGACATCCCACACGGCAGCGGTGGGATATCAACTTGAAAATGAAACGAATCAAAAATATTAAGGTATAAATTAAATATGAAACTCGATACAGGTCATAATCAACAAAATTATATGTTAAAATTAAAACAATATAATATGGTGAGATTTTTAATTGGATATGTTAAAAAAACAATACTCGTTAATTAGTTTCCGGAACATCACGATTGAATCTTTACGGAATAATATTGAATACCGTTATGCGCAATGAACTGTTTTCGAAGCCTACATTTTATTTCTTCATTAAAGCAAAATTTATTTAAAATTAAATAAAAAATCGAATCGTTTATTCGCTGCCTTAAAATCTAATTAGCCTTAAAAAAATCTTTCGTTTTCTTTTAGAACTTAAAAATTGATATTAATTTATTGATATTGATTTTTCGTCTCTGATTTCAATCGTTGATTTGCATATATACAACAAAACGTTCGTATCCAAATTTAATTATTTTTTATTAATTAACTTGAAGTAGAGTTTCTCTTAATGCATACGTGTATAAGTACACAAATAGGAAATATGAGGCCCGAAAAGACTTGTGCAAACTCTTCTCTTACAAAAGAGAATCCAAATAAGAGTTGAAAGCTTCCGCCTTTGAATACATCTTATGTGAAGGATGTCAAAATAAAAAAATACTAATTAAAAATAATGCTAATTGAAATACGTACTTGTTTAATTAATTAATTTCACGTAAATCTATGGAATTTTTTAAACGTTTTCTCCTTTATTATTTTTCTTTATAAATTCTATCATTATCCAATTAGAAAGCTCTTATTAAGTTCACCACATTAATTATGTATGTATTATAAAATTATTCTCAAAGATATCATTTCTTACTATAAAATATATAGAAATACACAACAAATGTCTACAGTATATAATTACGTGAATCAGATCTAAGATTTGCTTATTGTTTCAAACTGAATTCGTGTATCATCATTTTCTCTCCGCCATCTAATAAAATTCATCTCATTTAAAGCGCAGAAAGTATAACGTAGAGCATTCATAAGGGAACAACTAAATATGTCCATTTCTATCAAAGTAAATTAATTCTCGATTTAACTTACTTTTTATGCTTTTTTAAATTCTTTTTAATTCTATATTTAAAAAAACATAAAGAATGAATTAATAAACCAAGATTAAAGTTATCTACATCGAATAGAAATGGACAATGTACACTCGCAAACTTTAAACGGAATGTTCACACGGTCAAATTCTAACGCGCGCATGCGCACAATTGACGACACGTTTCGCTTCGATGGTCAGTGCAGTCTCCGTAAAGCGCGGAAAAATTTTATCCATTTGTCATCCAAAATTCTCGTCGCGAGGACATTTAAAAAAAATTTGCCTACGATAATTATCGTAATCACGCGCATCTCTCGATCGAGTTTATTCTCGCGCATCCCGCGAAAGACAGTCGCTCGTTTGACACCTCGAGTAATGTCGCTAGCAGACGATTCATACGGCGTCTGCTAGAACGTCAGCTGACAAGTATCAGAGCAAAGTATCGTGCCGCTTTAAATATCTCGCACGTGTTGTCACGCATATTCACGAGTACGACTGAGAGACGAGATCACTTAATCTCACGAGGGCGAGGCGCTGCGGTTTTGTGATCCTCCCTGTCAGATGTGATGCCAAGGCACAGAGTGCCGGGTTCCCATGCGACCTAGCACCTGACCCACATGTTATGTAATTTTTTTATCGATGAACAATTCTCCTGTCTCACAAACGTTCAAATAAACGCAAAAAATGTCAAGACGAAATCACAATCGAGGACGATTCCCCACGTATGTGATCGATAGCCTCGACAGTCGGCGACGCGAGGGATCGATCCGATTTGACAGAGCGGACGCGTGATTCGTGACAACATAGGTTAGGTACGTCTGTAACCTCGCCGCGAAAGGAAGCCGCGAAAATCGCGAAAACTGAATGAAACGGCGTGTTTTCTCGATCGCGCCGCGCTCGACGAGTCGTCAGCCGTCGAACGCGCTCTAAATGACACGCGGGAAGACGCGGGACAATTTGGAACAAGGTCGGAGTGCACGACGACAGAGTGCGACAGGCGTTTGGCGTTTTGAAAAGGAGGAGAAAGAGAACGTACCTGGCAGTGCGGTAGGAGAGCGTTGCTCGTCCGAGGGTTTACCGGCCGCGATTTCACACATGTCGTAGTCGAAACTTTCCTCCGTAATTGGGCGAAATGTCCAAACTGGCACAGTCTCTCCACATGAGCACAAAGCCTACTCGATCCTATACATGCCATCGCGGGGACTACAGTGAGCGGACCGACCACCGTCCGGGTATTCCGTACCCTCCTACAGCTCTAGCCGCTCGATCCCACCAGCCAACACTTCGAAAAATCACGCCTCCCCCACCCGCCGGCCAGACCTCGACGCGACCGCCACCGCTTCCCACCGCCGGTGATCTCTAACCGCGAATGAGAGCGGCTCCTCGGCTTTAGATGAGCCTCTATGTGCGTTGCCTTTGTGAATCATTTCAAGCCGCATGCGCGCCTGGAATACGTCGTCCAATGACGGATTCGCCGTACAGCTGCATTCGGGCCTTTCTACATTTTGAAAAAACGGGATATATAAATATATAATAGATTATAGATAATATCACTGATAAAGTGATATTATTAAAGTTATTTATAATCTTATGCGGGCGCTGTCAAAATTTAAATTATTAATTCATACTTTAAATTAGTAATTTTATGATTGCTTATTATCTTAATATTCACATATATTTACAACTTGATGGTAATATTTAATTTTATTTGATTATCCTGTCCGATTATCTGTAGAAATAATAATTGTAGAAAGAACTTTTATAATTTTGTAGCAATATAATTAATATTATGTGATATTAATATATAGAGTATACACACATAATACTTTTCGATTTTTATTTAGAACGTTATTGTTACCGTCTGAATTTCAATGATTGAGAAATTTTATATCGTTGATCGATAATATCAATACTCTTCAATTATCTGTGGACCGTCAAAGTCGCATTGTGACCTTCGACATTTACCCAGTCGATAGTCTTTAATAATATTTCATCAATGTACGTAGAAGATAGAAAGTGGCATGATGAATAGGTTAAGTTTGATTCTTCAAAAATTTGAACAAGCGATTCAAATAATTTTTGGTCGCGGTTTTCCTCCAGGTAATTAGAAATTATTATGTATGAATGTACTCTATTCCGGATTTTGAATACAATGATTATGATACGAATAATCTAAGACTGTTTAGATTTCCACGTTTCCTAACCTCAATCGATGGAAAAATCAAATTTTGTATATTAAAAAATGAATTTAGATAAATTTTTTTAACATATTTATTGAGATTTGAATAAATCTTTCGATTTTTCGTACAGAACCACTATGTGCAATCGAATGCAATGGTTTCCTGAACGAATCGAAACCAGCAAACCGTTTTGGTAATTATTCTTTGAAAGAAATTTTCGAGAATGGCATTCTGTGGGCAGTTCCAAAACAGCGACGTAGTTATGAGAGGAGACTTAAGAGAAGATACGGAATAATGGAATATGTATGGAAACCACCTATTGCGAAAACTAATATATTAATATGTCCAAATTGTGGTCATAATTATGAAGCCAATTGTTTATGTGGTAAATTTCATTAATATAAAATATATCTGTGTAAATTAAGATAAAAGATAAAAAACTTAGATTATATTCTTAAAAATATAAAGTATTAAAATTTTGTGATTGGAAAATGTCTTCATAAAAGTGAATAAAAAAAATTTAAACAATCTATATTTTTTACAGGACACTGCTATGAGAGAGTAAAGCTTGAGACTAAAAAAATACAAGCTGCTATTCAAGAGGAATTGGGTCTAAGTCCAGTAGAAGAGAATGTAATTATATTATACGATGGAGAAAAGGATTCTAAATCGGATGAATTTTGGAAGGTACTGAAAAAAATATGTATATAATTTGTTGATAAAATTTTGTTTACATAAATATATGGATTTGTTTATTTCAGAACCAACGAGTAATCGAGATGCCAAAGAAAAGACCTTCATGGTTTCACCAAAACTTATTGCAGCCAACAACACAAAAACCATCAGATGAAAAGACTATTAAACCTACTAACCTTGCATAAAGTATATTTAAAATCAGTTTTTAATCTTTTGTAGTTGACAATTGAAGTATTATGCTCATCAAAATGGATCAATATCTGAAATTTTTGTAGATTAAAAAAATTAAAATTTTATTATGTGAATACTCTGTATTTATAGTCTTTTATGTGATGAGAGTTTCATTTTCCCGACTGCGTTTATTAATATAAAAATAAATACTTTTGCAATACATAGTATTGTCTCGTTTTGTAATTTATACTATAGTAGGAGTATTTTATATATTTCAATATTTTTCTAAAGATCCCAATTACCATAAATTTCATTTCTATACAAATTGGAATTGGAAGGAAAATCATCGCATGATTCAACATTGATTTTGACAATGTGATCAATGTACAAGTTCAAAATCCTCTGTAGAGACTTCATTGGTTATATGGGTTAAAACATGTTGATGAAATTCCTCAAACGATATGGATTTTCCGTAAACAATTCCACATAACGGACATGTATTGATATCCGCATCTAAATTATCGTTCAGATTAGGACATTTTTCCATAGAAATGTTAGGAGTCATAAGACTAGTCTGAGTAGCTCCATGTTCCTTGAAACTATCATCAGAATCGAATTGTGTGCCCGTTTGGCACATCTTTTTATTCGCTTTCTCGCGACAATTATTACATACTCCTAAAAATATGTATTTGTTTCAAAATTGACTTTTCAAGAGATTTCTTTATATTGTAACTAGTATTACAACGTCAACAAGAGAAAAGATCTAGTTAAATTATAAATACACTGAATAAAATCTTACCATTCCTTATTTTTTTAAGATTCTGCAAAGCTCTTTTTAACCTAGTTTGTTGCCCAAGTAAGGCATCCTTGGTTTGAGACAATCGAATCTCATGCTGCTTCAATTGCTCCAGCGAATCTATGTCGGAATCTTCTGGATACGTGAAACCAACATTTTGTAAATTTAATTCAGAACTATTGTGCAATTCCACCATCTGCGTGAAATGAGACATTGCATAAAAGATGTTAATCAATTAGAATATTTTTGCTTCTTTACCTCTGCATACTGCTGTTCAAGATCAGACTTCTCTAGCATAATACTATTTATTAATCGGAGGGATATTTCTTCCAAGCTTTGCTCTCTTTCACCTGAATGACGAAAATTGTTAATTGTGATAGTAGTAGAAATATTGTTGTATCTCAAATTGATACTAACCATGTGTAGTTAATAAGTACGTCTTGTTAGCATCCTGTCTGTCCATATTAGATGTATCACGAAAATTATATGAAATAATATCAGCCGGCTGTGTGACATGATGCTGTTTAAGTGTATCTGAAATTTTTGTCAACTGACTGCCTAAAGATTTGTTAGTTTTCGTCAATCTTGTTAGTCTGCTCCATAATTGACGATTTTCCGCAGCTACCATGAAAACATGATGGGACAGTTGAGACTTTTGTTTCGTAAGTTCCTCTATTTTTTCCTACAATAAATGCATTACTCTTGTTGTCTTAAATGTGTTTGTAAATATTATAGAGTTTTATGTAAGCATAAAAGGACCATATGGGAACGTTTCATTTTATTTTAGATTAGAACAAAGAAAATACATGCATAACAACTATATTTATTCTTAACATTATAATGTTTCTTATTACATTTATAATTCTATTGCATTATATTCTATATTGTGCAATTAAATAGAAGGGATAAAAATTTAATATCATTGTCTAATAGAAAAGTTCATCAACATTTCAGACCAACATTTTTAAGAAACAGATTTTTTCTTGTAATCTATATCATGCTTTAAGTATCACTAATAGCTTTAAGAATTTTTATTTTATTTTCTAATTTGTATCTAATTTGATTTTTGACGAACCTGCAGCGTTTGTACCGCAGACCTATCACTCTTATCTTTGACGATCGCTGTGGACATGTCTCTGCCGCATTCAAGCCTAAGACACATGTTCTCCTTTTCCACTGCTGCTAATCGTGTTTGTAATTGCTGGCAGCGTTCCTTCATGGTCCTGAAGGCAACTAAGAGCGCGCAATAGGATCCGAAGATATCATTCTCCGGGCTTTCGATGTCGTTCATTGTGCGACTCATCGAAAAGAAGCCGTGATTACAAAATTAAAATCAAGAATACAAGTGTGTTGCCGATAGTCTACGAACTTTCTCGACGATTCCTATTTTTGCGCTCTGCCGACTCTGCGTTTCACTCGTCGTGGCTGTGAGGAGGTTAGGTAACCTTACATCTTGTCTACAATTGCAAAGATGCTCCGGACAAAACGTTCACGTTGGTCTCGATCTTCCTCGTCGAAACATGTACTCCCAGTGTTGCTCCGCGGTAACATTTGCAGAGATCGTACTCATATTACAGCGGAATAGCGCGACATCGGTGATTCCCCATTTTCCGTTAGACGTCGTTGTTTTTATCCCGCTGACGAGACGGCTATGCGTCGCTATTGGTTCACTTCTGTTAGCGGGATGACAGATATGACGTCACTAGCGATATGACAGTATAACGTCACTAGCGATATGACAGATATGACGTCACTAGCGATATGACAGATATGACATCACTAGCGATATGACAGATATGACGTCATATCTGTCATATCGCTAGTGACGTCATATAAGTATACGACGTCACATAGGTATACTATAGGACACCACAGATGTTCTGAAATTGTTGCATTACATTTTTTCGCGCTGCACTTCTTGCACTCACATTTCTCATTCTTCCGTTTTCATTTGCACAACTCAAGAATTTCTTGCACCGTATTTCTTTTCGTTTTCTTTCCGATATGAAGAAAAAAACTGTGATGATGAGATGTTAGAAGTTCAGCTGCAAAAAAAAAACAAATCTAAATAAATCTAATCTCATGACGAGTGCTTTATAAATGATGCCAATCGGGATTCGTTCTCACGGAAAAGTAATGATTTAATTGGTTATATTTAGACGTCATTAATATTACTTCCCCTAGAGCAATTTTGAAAAGCAAAAAAAAATGTCAACTGCAGGAATTGCTTGTGTAAAAACTAGATTATTATAATTTTATATATATAAAACATTAATATGTATCACAAATTTGTCAAGTAATTATATCTGGCGAAACTGTCAAGAATCATTATTTTCTTATATCGAGAAACTTCTTCATAAATATATAACATATTTACTTTTTAAATAATTTTGTGATTTAAAATATTATTTTACAGGAACACAGTATAAGGCTTATTAAAAGAGATGCATGAGAGAGAGTCACATTTTGTTTTTATTCATTGTCGTATAGCCACAATCAATATGATACGAATAAACTTTTCGAACTTATTAATATTTATGACTACTTTAAATGGCTAATAATCGACTTCAGGTCGGCCACTTCAGCATTTCTTATCAAACGTGTCTATACATATATATACATATGTATCTTACATACACATACAAAGTAAACAACGGGTTACGCGGTCCTGTTATAAGCTGAGCTTTGACCAGTCCGGATATTTGCTCCTTTCGCTTGACATCAGGACTTTCACCATATGGACATGTATGTATATTTTATTAGAAATAATATTAAATGCTCTCTCAAGATGATATGTGATATGAATCATGAATTTAGTATCCCGGTTAGTGCGATTGGCCCGGTCCAATGTCCACCACTGTGACATAATTGATGGCAATTTATAGCAATGTACCTTGATGATGTAGATCTGTCACCGCGCAGATCGTTTATCCCCGTACGCGCGCTGATTTAGATATAACCATGTGTGTATGATATAATACACATGCACGCAATACATGCGTGATACATATGTGGGTGTGACACTTCTACCGAAATATTTTTGAAACTTTGACTTTCGAGTGAGAGTGAGACATATCTTAACAAACAGTGAGATTGCATTGCATACCTATCTGAATAATAATCTTAATTTCACTATTATGTTTGTTATTTATGATATCACTTATCTTTAAAACATTGATAATATTCATTAATTTTGTTCTTTAGCAATACAGTAGGCATAGGCTCGAGTTCTCTAGAGAAACCAGCTATGTACAAAATATTCTCTAATGTGTCAAAGTACACGGTAAGCATACGGAGGCAAATTATCACCGGAGGTAAATCTAAAAGAGAAAGTTTTTATGAAAATTGAATCAACAGGTTTACAATGGATTGCGTAGAACACCAGCTCTTCTTCAGGGAACACCTATAACAACGTTAAATCTAAATAAGCAACCGATTCCCAAACAACCTGTTCCTGATCTCAAACAAACTGCAGAACGTTACTTGAAGTACATACCTATATCTTTATTTTATCTTTAAATCATTATGTTTATGATTCTTATTATGTCTAATTATAGATCTTTGAAGCCATTGTTGACTGACAATGAATATAAGAATACAGAAAGGATTGTTGGTGAATTTATTAGTGACGCCGGCGCAGGACCTCGGTTACATGCTAAATTATTGAATAGATATGAAAACACAGATAACTGGGTACTTGTATTTGCATATTTTTTTCGATATACAATTAAGTAAATATGAATTAACTTCCACTCGTTTCAGATGAAAGACTGGTGGCTGCAAGTTGCATACTTGGGATACCGTATGCCCGTAATCGTGCATTCTAGTCCTGGAAATGTTGGACCACCGGTTACTTTCCATCAACCAGATGACGTGTATGTGTTCGCAGCGCGCCTTATCGCTGGAGTGTGCAATTACAATGAGATGATCAAGAGGTAAGTCCCATGCAGTTTGCAACATTTTTCGCGTTCTTTCTAGTATTCATCTGCAATGACATTATAGTGGAAAGATGAAGCAAGAAATGGTTCGCGATGATCCTCTTGATATGCTGCCTTATGGCATGATACTCGGTACGCACAGGCAACCCAGTAAAGCGCTCGATAAATTGTTGCACACAGACGAAGCCAAACACATAATAATCATAAGTAATAACAATGTAAGTATAATGAATCTAATAAAATAATATAGCTGGATACATACTATCTATATTACAGTTCTTTAAACTTTGTGTTGTCGATAAAAATGGCATTTTAAATGAAGGCAAGCTTGTGGCTGCTATAAAAGATATCGCAGATCGCTCGTGTACTGAGGGGAAGCCTATAGGAATTTTAACTGGGAATGACAGAGACACATGGGCGAAGGATCATAGTTTACTTTTAGGTTTATTTCAGTTTATTTTTTTTCTTTTCTTATTGCATACTATTTGCGTTCATTCTTTTCAAACTAGAAATTTATTGTATAGTTTTTAATTTTACTATCTATCGAATCATCATTATTTTCAGAACTGGGTAACAATAGGGATATAATTAGAGATATAGAAAATTCCTTGTTTATATTATGTCTGGATAAGGATATACCTAAGGATGCTTTTAAGAAAAAAACAATGCTTCAGTCAGAGCAGTCCAAACTATGACAGGCTACAGTAGTCGTGTAAATGCAGGAAATAGGTGGCATGACAAGACTGTGCAGGTGAAATATTCGATTATTACGAATGAATTCAATATGAAGCAATTTGAAATAGATAAAATATTTAAGATGATGTCTTTTGATACTGAAATAAACTAGAAACATTTTTATAGTATATAGTATCTGCCGATGGTTATATTGGCATGGAATATGAACACAGTCCATGTGAGGGAGTTCCCGTTGCTGTCCTTCACGATTATGTATTAAAATATATGTAAATAATAATTGTTAGTAAATTATTTTTCATAATAAAGCACATATAAAAATTTCCGTCTGTTTTTAGAGCATCGAGAGAGAATAGTGCAAGAGACAAAAGTTCCGCAAATTTTCCAAGACCAGAACTTTTAAAGTTTGAAACTAACGATGCTATAGAATGTGCAATCGAGAAAGCTACCGATTCAGTAGATAAGTATGTTGATTGTTGCATTAAGGAAAATTATAATTACGCTAATATTGTATTGAAAATGTAATACATATGATTTTTTAGACTCTCAAACGACATAGACATGGAATGTTTCACGTTCGACAAATTCGGCGCGGATGCGATAAAAGCGATTAAGCTGAGTCCCGACAGTTTCATCCAAATCGCGATGCAAGTAACGTTCTACAATTTACAAAGAAAAGCGTCAGCTCATTACGAAAGCGCGGCATTGCGAAGATTCATAAATGCCAGAACTGAGTGTATTAGGTCTACCAGTACCGAATCTGTAGAATTTGCAAAGATAATGCTTCCTGAAGCCGAATGCAAAAGTAAGCAGCAAAAAAAGGAAATGATGATTAGAGCTATAAACGCTCACAAAGAGTACGCTGCGCAGGTGAAGCATCTGTCTACTTGAATTATAATTTTTTTTTTAATCATTATTTTCTGATGAATTTTCGAATTAATATTTCTTTTTGTACAGGCTGTGATGGGTCAAGGTGTCGACCGGCATCTGTTCGGTTTAAAAATGATAGCTCAAAGCGAAGGAATGGAGCTTCCAGAATTGTATAAAGATGTTGGTTATACCAAAAGTACATATTTCAATTTAACGTCGAGTCAGGTAATTCAAAATTGACTCTTAAAAGAATCAAGAATTTTTGTACTAATTGTTATATTTTTATGATCCAAAGGTACCATATAAATCAGCGTCTTTTATGTGTTATGGACCTGTTGTTCCTGATGGTTATGGTTGCTGTTATAATCCACGACCAAAAGATATTTTGTTTGCTTGTTCGTCATTTAAATCGTGTAATGAGACTGACACTGAAAAATTTGCTTGTGTTTTACAGCAGACACTGTGCGACATGCGAGACATAGGAAGCGAATAAAGTTATAGAACTTTATATTTTACTGCGACAAAAATCTTGAAATTATACATTACATTTTTATACAGTATAGGATGGTAAGCAGAATATCGTATTTGTTACGTATACATTTTTTATTGTGAAATATAAATTGGAGATCTGCAAAATACGTTGCAGTACCATATTTCGCGACTTGGCTCATCATGTATACAGTTGTATTTTTTCAATAAATATATGAGTAACATTAATCATAATACAATTATTCAATTCAGCAATATATAAATATAAAATAATTATCAAAAATCGACAGTCGTGCGCATATTTGGCAAATATTATGCTATACAAAATAAATATTAATATCACAGTTCTGTTCTGGTCCTGGGTGGGAAACCCCAGAAGAACGTTGGGTATCCTCTGACTTCACGTTCTCTGGCCACAAAAGCGCTGAAAGAGGAAATGCAGTTTCCTATGAAATAATTAGACCTTCCGAGAATTGCCAAATCCAAATGTGGAGATACTGGTGGTTCTTGCCGGAATACTGGTATCTGCGAAAGAAAAATAACAGAATGCTCATTAGTGAATGATAGCAACATGATAAATATACAAGTTTACCTTCATGCGCTCTAAAGCTTCCGTGAGTTTGTCCAACATGTAATCATCGTCAGATGCTACGAACACAGATTTAATATCTTTGCCATTACGAATAACACGCTTCAGTTGGGTCACTATTACATCAAATGACGGCAAGCACATCGACGATGTTGCTTTGCCACGTTCATTTTGGTACCCGAGACACTGGGGTGCGGCGAAAAGATTTGGTGCAGATGGTATATGTTCGCAGGCGCGTACCTGAAAAGCAAACGCAATAAATAGGAGAAATCATTATTCTTTGTAGGACATCAATAATATTTTCATATAAAAATATGTACAACAAATACATTATGCATACCCAATCAATTCCGTTTCGCAAATGTATACCAACAAATGCACCTCTCGGTAATTTCTTTTTTATAAATGCCTTTGCTTTATTCAGAATGTCATTGTTCCAATTGAGACACTTCTGCAGAGGTTTATTCTCCAGCTGTATCGGGAAACTGGCGGGTGCGCCTGTAAATGCTAGTACTGGCCAAATTTCAGCTGGATAATGCTGCTGCCATTGTTGCTGCCTCGTGCGGGTATAATATATATCGTAATAAAGGAGAGGTTTGTAAAATTCTGACTTGACAAAATCTATATTGTACGTATCCCAGAAGGGCCCAAATGGATTCCCATGCTTCGCATTACAAGACGTCCCATTACTTCCCTCGCGAGCTTCATAACAGAAAGCTGAAAGGATGGAAAAAAATTTATTTATTTTCAAATTTATTAAAAAAAAAAAATAATATCCCAAGACTTACATATTCTTTTTTCAGGTGGCCATATTTTCGGTGCAACATCAATCATAAAGTCTTCCATTAATATTGCTTTATGACAGTTTTGTACTTGTGAGACATTAAAGTAAGTGTCGAATGGTACTTGTATCTAGAAGTGGAATTGGATGTTAGACATTGATTATAATTTTACATTGATACTGTATATAGATTTTGCACTTACAGATCTGGTCTCTCCCGTGCGATATTCGACCCATGGCGGTAATATCAGGGTACGATTTAGAGCTCTGGCAAATCCTAAGACCCCTAAGAAATGATCCGCTTGGTTGCCAAAGCGTCCTACAACGAGAGTCAAGGAGATTATCACTGTCGTGAGTAGTGACGTATAAACGATGAGAAATTAGGATAGATTATTGTTCTTACCCATGCAAGGACAGTAAACAACATAGCCATCCGGGTCGATGTCAACATCCTGACAACATGCAGCGTAGAAATTTATGAAAAATAATGTAAAAATCGATATTCTGAGCATTGCCAAATAAATTATATTAACACTTTCACGAATATCCCTAATGTAATTGTTGCGAATTTCTGTACAAATTCTCCTTTTCTTGTGCGTGTTGACATGCAAGGTTACAATGGATAGAGAGAGAACCAGGCGGACTCCATCTTTTAGTTTCCATGGAGATAAGCATCGATTAGACTCGCAAGAATTGCTGAAAAAAACTTCTTTTTGAAAGTAATCGATTCGAGAAAAGCATATTAGTGCAATTTTTATAAATTGGAGTTGTTCAACGTTGTAGAGGTAAAATCATTTATAATTTTTTCGTGAGATTGTTAATAATTCTCTGCATAATGCGAATCTATTATTTTTATTGAAAGCAAATTAATGTTTACACAGAATTATAAATAACCCGCCATTTTGTGATCATATATCTAAATATTTTTTGAACAAATTTGCATCACATCATTAGATAACAATTTCTATATTCATCGTTCACTAATTTATATACTCTGTTTTTTGGAATAACCAATTTTTGAGCTGGAGAAATGCGTTCAAAATTAATGAAAGCATTTACAGGAAGAAAGAAACGGGACAATAATAATGTACAATCTTATTATTATACTGGAAAGCGGTAAAATAGTTTATAGTAATATTTATTATGCTTGTTATTCTCATTGCGGCCTTGCCGGTGGAGGTGGATTGTTAGGAACAGGTACTCCTCTGTAATTTGGAACCTTAATCGGACTGGAGCATTGCGGTATCATTTCTGTTAACGGAAATAGAGAACCAAAGAAAACATGTTGGATAACAGGAAACTTTGACAATACCTGAAAAATAAAAATAATAAAAAACAAATTCTTTTTTTACATGCACAAATTGCAATTACCTCCGCTTGGTACATCTTAATGAGACCACTATTCACTTTTGACCATGAAGATACTGCGCTGACGTTCCATAATTGATTCGAATGTTCAGCAAAAGGTCCTATTTTCACCTAATAAAAAACAGTCAATCAAAAAAAAAATATCAAAAATGTATGCATAAATTTCTTAATTTGGAATAAATTAAATCGTGCCAATGAGAGTACGTTCCATTATATCTTTATAACTCCGAATATGTTTTTGTACCTTCGAAATAAAGTCGATACAGCCAAGAAACATGTATTTCTTGCTGAAAGATTCCACGATACCTGGGTCCACAAAATGACGTGGTTCTATTCGTGGATGTCCTAAAAAAATTAAATTATATAAAATAAATATTACGAATAGATTAAAAAAATAGTTTCTTTTCGAAATTACTATATCACATCATCGATAAAGATTATACGGAGAACATATATACAAAAGTTAAAAGTACCAATGAGTTGAGCACTTCCCCATATAAAAGGAACAAATTGATAATCGTCCAAACTCCAAACACCGTGACTACCTGCTGGTTCCATACGGTATGTCAATTGAAGTTTGCGCACTAATTCGAGGTATCTTTCCAATAATCCAAGAAAATATTTTAAACAATTAAATAAGAAAGAATAAGAGATCATGTAGTATACTAAAATATACAATTAAAAATTTAAGTACCTATTAAATACTTTTATCACAACAGCAATCCTATCTTCATGTTCAAATACGTTTATCTTGAACAAGCAGCAGAGAAACATAATAAAAGCCATTTCATGGCCTGTTCCATAATCAATGCGTGTTGGATTACCAAAGCTTTCATATAAATACTGCACTATCTCTGGGATTGCACGATGCAAATCCTCTGGCAAAACTTGTTTTAATTCCTCCAAAGCGTTCTGTAATATTAAGATTAATTGCAAATGAAAGTTTTTACCATTTTACTACTTATTCTGACGAATTAATAATTAATACTTTTAAATAAAATACTCTTAAATAAAACTGATGCCAAACCTGCTGTAATCGTTCATGCCATGTGCGAAACGATTTGTTGCCAAATCGTTGGGGCTGTTCAGTAGGTGGGATTTCTGCTATCCATTCGTCAAATTTGTTCAACATCTGCACAATACTGTCCACTGCAGAAGACTGTGAACATTCTGAATCTAAAGCACTTCCCTGAACAGCTTGGTTCAATGCTAAGATAAATCCCATGTATTCCTATAAATATTTCATGAATGCATAAAAAAATGTGCTTTTGTAATACACATACACATACAAAGTATATAATAAAATATATTATAGTTGCATATGAAAAGCTAATAATCATTGCAGTGTAAGTTATAAATTTTATTTTAATTAAATATGAGTTATTCATATTCTCTTTCTTCTCTAAATTTATCCTTTATTTAATTTGACAGTAAAATAAATCAAACATTGATGCATTTAAATTGATAAAACAAAATATACTGAATTTCCAATAAATGCAAATATTATTCCTACAATCAAGTTATATTGATTTAAGATATTTTTAGCCTCCCCTATATTATAATTGAAATTAGATATATAAAATGATAACAAAATAAATAATTGTAAAAGCTGTCTTACATAGTACGCTTCTGATCTTTTCCACAATGTTAAATCATTTGGTGTCTTGACACGTTTTGTCGGTACAACAAATTCATGTGGCTCAGCTGAAACAATACATTAATATGTAAATTAATCAATTATATCTCTCTGATATATAAATACATATTGCAAGATATATACGTGACATATAAGTGTGTTGTGTTTCCGAAGATGGTTCTAGTTCTGATTCTGACATGATGAAATCCAAAACTTGACTGCGATATTAATGAGCTCCGTTAAGGCAACGCAGTGATATTTCCGTCACTGACGGCATTTCGCTTAGGTGCACCTAGTTAGGCGTAATTAGATGACTCTGTCGCTATCGCTTCGATATGGAGAATTCAGATATGGAGAATGACGAAACATAACCTAATAGATTCTCTTTTTGTTTCTTTTTACTTCGCAACACCACAATAAGAGCACTTTAAACGAGAACAACGCGCAAATTATCGCGTGAATTACCTCGTACGCAATGTAAATAGGTAAATTGTAGGGAGAAGTAACAATTAACAATGTCCATGACCTTGCAACGAAATCATCGGTTGACACGTTGATACAATTTTCTACTTCACGAAACCCATGAACGTGACGCGCATACGCCGTGGGAGAGTTACCGTATCCGAAATTTTACGCAAGGAATATTAATCTTTAAACCAAATTCCAATAAACGTTCAGTTTAGATTCTTCACGTTAAAATTTAATGAATTTACATTCATTAACGTAGTTTTATACAAAAACGAAGGTTTGAAAAAAAAAACGGTCGCTTAATGTTTTCAAGTCTGATGACATTTAATGATTTGCGCATGCGTCGTGGTCGAAATGCGCGCAAAATATGAAATGTAGTAATTATAATCGTCGATAAAATACTAATTGAAAATCATCAATTGATTTTTTGTGATTAGCAAAGGGGCTCTCATATGCTTATATTCATTTGCTTTCATCGGTATGAAATATAATAAAACTGAAACACAATTAATCATAAAATGATTGCACTTCGTGAAGAATGCGTGGTTGCGCAGGTTTAGTCGCGCAGGTCTATCTTTCTAATTGGCTCAATGAAATTTAACGTGACAGGAACGTGTGTTTATTTTTAAAATTTGTGGGGAATAAAAATTGCTTATACTAGGAGTAGAGCCGAAGCAGAAAAACGGTCGTAAAGAGTCGTAGTCGTAAAATTCCAAGGCACAATGAATTGGCGGAGGATACGTTTACATCAAGTATTACGTCTTTCTGCTTTGGCTCACACTCTCTAATAAGAATCATAACTTTTCAATCTTATCCCACACATGTTTTCCCCAATATATTAAAGTTTACGTTTAGATTAGCGAAGATGGATGAGTGAATGAGAGAGAGAGAGAGAGAGAGAGAGAGAGAGAGAGC